GAACATATCAAATGTTTAAACTGCAACGCTGCTGTAATATTACTCTCTCGTCATGTAGGTAGCGAGGATGCCGAAGCCTGATTCTGTGAGGCAAAAAGAACCTTTCACATACGCTCTCTCGCATAGGGAATACGAGAAACTTCAGGGGGCAAAAACACATGATCGCATCGGAAGTCCTGGTACTCACCTCTACCTGGGTTATTACTTTTCTTTGTTAGCCCTCAGTAGAAAAATATAAAATACTGCGCATTCTATAAGTGCTAAATGTAACCCTTTCACTGAGATGTTGCAGAAACATCCAGCCTCTCTTCTTCCTCTTTTAGAAGAAGCCCTGACACAAATTTTATATGAAGTATTGTGATACGCAGAAATCAGTGCTTCTTAAAATGCTGCAAAATCGAATTCATTCAACTTTTTTTACTGAAATTAAATTCCGAAATCCCAAATAAAGGCTTCAAGAACTCTATGCTTCCCTGGCCAAATCCTAAACACTCTTCTAGTGTATGTAGTAAACGGCACGAAGCACAGTGGTTCACAAAAGCATATAGTTGTTACATGTAGTGGTGTTCGATGAGGCGTCGCATTGGCCGAACAGCCGAATCTGTTATCGTGTCACGGAACTGTGGCAAATATTTGTGCGATGTGGCATCGCATCACCTCGCCTACTTGCTTTTGTTGCTTTTTCTGTTTTCCAAACGTATGGCTCTCAGCGAGGACCCTTCGAGTCTTCTGAAATACATCTGTGGTCCGCAATCGACTCTGTTCTCATAATACGGAGGCATCAGTAATTATTGCATACCTTCTTCTGCGGGTCAAGGTTCCAGTGGTTTTAACTGCTTTCTTAAAAGCACAAGTGGAATCAAAATCTGTACAGCTTTCGAAGATTTTTCAGCATTCCTGAATCAGATGATGAAAAGCTGAGCACTAGAAGTTACACCGATTACACAGTGCACCTACTGCAATTTTCATTTTCCTTTTTTCTTTTAAACTGCAGACTTTGAAAGCAGCTGTTTTCAGCTTGCTTTTGTTTGCCGGGGTTAAAGCTCGCATTGAGCACCATTAAGGAATGGTGCTCAATGCGAGAAAGACTGATTTAACCCCCGATGTTTCTACTTACTGACGGCACCAAACACTTCTTAATTTTGCTGGGCAGAACAGTGTTCGACCAGTTTGGATGCACTTGCCCCAGTACCAAATGCGCCCCTGAGAGGCTTCGTGGCTTCATACTCCTACTTTTTATGCGTTTTTTGCAGCTATGCAATGCAGAAAACGCATATTGACGAGAGGTTGTCTGTGCGTGTGTGTCTGTGTGTCTGTGTGTCTGTGCGTCTGTGTGTCTGTATGTCTGTGTGTTCGTCTGTACCGATTTTTCATCTCGAGACCGGCAAAAGCTGCGGT